GAAGGAACTAGCTATGGATTGATCCAGGTGGTGCTTGATTTGCAAGGAGGTTACATCCCTTCTGGATTTGCCATCATGGTGATGTATGTTTTGAAAGTCAGACCCAGAATTTGTAAATCCAACATTTTGGGAACTTTTTGTATTAAAAGTACTGTATAGAATAGTGTTAATCTTTTAAGCATGACCTTTACCTAGCCTATACACAGGGAAGAAAGGAGAGCAGCAGAATACGGACCCTGGACTTCAGAAAAGCAGACTGACTCCCTCAGGGAACTGATGGGTCGGATCCCCTGCGAGAATAACATGAGGGGGAAAGGAGTCCAGGAGAGCTGGCTGTATTTTAAAGAATCCTTAGTGAGGTTACAGGGACAAATCATCCCGAAGTGTAGAAAGAATAGTAAATATGGCAGGCGACCAGCTTGGCTTAACAGTGAAATCCTTGCTGATCTTGAACACAAAACAGAAGCTTACAAGAAGTGGAAGATTGGACAAATGACCAGGGAAGAGTATAAAAATATTGCTCGGGGATGCAGGAGTGAAATCAGGAAGGCCAAATCACACCTGGAGTTGCAGCTAGCAAGAGATGTTAAGAGTAACAAGAAGGGTTTCTTCAGGTATATTAGCAACAAGAAGAAAGTCAAGGAAAGTGTGGGCCCCTTACTGAATGAGGAAGGCAACCTAGTGACAGAGGATGTGGAAAAAGCTAATGTACTCAATGCTTTCTTTGCCTCTTTCTTTATGAACAAGGTCAGCTCCCAGAGTGCTGCACTGGGCAGCACAGCATGGGGAGGAGGTGACCAGCCCTCTGTGGAAAAAGAAGTGGTTCAGGACTATTTAGAAAAGCTGGACGAGCACAAGTCTATGGGGCCGGATGCACTACATTCGAGAGTGCTAAAGGAGTTGGTGGATGTGATTGCAGAGCCATTGGCCACTATCTTTGAAAACTCATGGCGATCCGGGGAAGTCCCGGACGACTGGAAAAAGGAAAAGATGGGTAGTGCCCATCTTTAAAAAAGGGAAGGAGGAAGATCCTGGAAACTACAGGCCAGTCAGCCTCACCTCAGTCCCTGGAAAAATCATGGAGCAGGTCCTCAAGGAATCAATTCTGAAGCACTTAGAGGAGAGGAAAGTGATCAGGAACAGTCAGCATGGATTCACCAAGGGCAAGTCATGCCTGACTAATCTAATTGCCTTCTATGACGAGATAACTGGCTCTGTGGATGAGGGGAAAGCGGTGGACGTGTTGTTCCTTGACTTTAGCAAAGCTTTTGACACGGTCTCCCACAGTATTCTTGTCAGCAAGTTAAAGAAGTATGGGCTGGATGAATGGACTAAAAGTGGATAGAAAGTTGGCTAGATTGTCGGGCTCAACGGGTAGTAATCAATGGCTCCATGTCTAGTTGGCAGCCGGTATCAAGTGGAGTGCCCCAAGGGTCGGTCCTCGGGCCGGTTTTGTTCAATATCTTCATAAATGATCTGGAGGATGGTGTGGATTGCACCCTCAGCAAGTTTGCAGATGACACTAAACTGGGAGGAGAGATACGCTGGAGGGTAGGGATAGGATAAAGAGGGACCTAGACAAATTAGAGGATTGGGCCAAAAGAAATCTGATGAGGTTCAACAAGGACAAGTGCAGAGTCCTGCACTTAGGATGGAAGAATCCCATGCACCACTACAGACTAGGGACCGAATAGCTCGGCAGCAATTCTGCGGAAAAGGAACTAGGGGTTACAGCGGACGAGAAGCTGGATATGAGTCAACAGTGTGCCCTTGTTGCCAAGAAGGCCAATGGCATTTTGGGGTGTATAAGTAGGGGTATTGCCAGCAGATCGAGGGACGTATTCGTTCCCCTCTATTAGACATTGGTGAGGCCTCATCTGGAGTACTGTGTCCAGTTTTGGGCCCCACACTACAAGAAGGATGTGGAAAAATTGGAAAAATTCCAGCGGAGGGCAACAAAAAATGATTAGGGGACTGGAACACATGACTTATGAGGAGAGGCTGAGGGAACTGGGATTGTTTAGTCTGCAGAAGAGAAGAATGAGGGGGGATTTGATAGCTGCTTTCAACTACCTGAAAGGTGGATCCAAAGAGCATGGATCTAGACTGTTCTCAGTGGTAGCAGATGAAAGAACAAGGAGTAATGGTCTCAAATTGCAGTGGAGGAGGTTTAGGTTGGATATTAGGAAAAACTTTTTCACTAGGAGGGTGGTGAAACACTGGAATGCGTTACCTGGGAGGTGGTGGAATCTCCTTCCTTAGATATTTTTAAGGTCAGGCTTGACAAAGCCATGGCTGGGATGATTTAGTTGGGGACTGGTCCTGCTTTGAGCAAGAGGTTGGACTAGATGACCTCCTGAGGTCCCTTCCAACTCTGATATTCTATGATTGATTCTATACAGCCCTAACTATCCTTCACCATGTACAATCAGACCAGTACCACCAAGGACGAAGAACAGCTGGTTGAAGCCAAACCCAAGCAAGACAGAAGTTTTGCTTATGGGCACAAGAAAGCATCTAGAAGAGTTCACAGCCATGGCACAATCTCTTTTTGGTGTGTACGCACCCACAATTGATCAATTCACTTCATAATTTAGGAGTGCTCCTGGATTCCTTGCTGAGGCTAAGCGCTCATATGATAGAAAGTATTAGTCACAGATGCTACTGTCTCTGGTTCGGTAGGTGAGGCTGTCCCATCCTAGCAGACTATGACCTGACTGCAGTTACCTTTGTCACCTCCTGTCTTGACTATAACAATGTAACATTCCTAAGGGCTGATGGCTTCCTGTCCAGTTAATTCTATACAGTACAGAATGTCTCCTCAGCAACAAAGGCTACCTCAAACACATGAAGTCTGTCCTTTGCTCTCTAGACTAGCCTACCACAGAATACTGAGGTTAACTTCAAGGTCTCAGTCCTTACCTTCAACTTGTTCAAAGGCCTAGGCGCAGCATATCTCAGATCATCTCTTCGCTGAGAACCACAGTTGACCATTCTGCTCCTCAGACAGAGAGTAATTTTCTACAAGGGTAAAGCTCAATTGTGCAAGAAACAGAGCCTCCTTGGAAGCTAGTAAGAGACTATGAAATGAACTCCCACAGGAACTAAGAATCATCACCACCTTCCTTGCACACTTTTCTGACCTTGCCTTCTCTAAAATGCCAAGCAGGTGTGTACATTTAAAAAAAATCACAAAATCCTACTAAAACAAAACACTACACTGCACACAAAATCTGAGAAAAGAATGAGAAAGAGAGAGAATATAACCTGTATAACAGTTGTTAGCCACATCATTTAATACATTACAGAAAGGTGCTCAGATGCTACAGTGATGAAGAATAAAAACATACACAGAAAAGAATAAGCAGATCAGAAGCCAACAATTTAAAGCTAAGGCATTCATTCTTCCATTAAAAAATATGTAACTAACCTTTACGTAACATTAACATCTGTGAGAGTTTAGTAGGTCAATGAACCAAAATTTGTACTAGATGTCAAACTAGGTGTTGCAACACAAGCATAAAGGAATCGTGGCCAGATACACATTAATCGTTAACATCTAGATAGGAACAGAGTTACTCATCTGTGTTAGTCATGAAATTCAAATACACAAGGACGTCTACCTCCTTTCAAGAATGGTCTCCTTAAAATGAAACAACCTGAAAGATATCCCAAAACTAGTTGCACATAAACTAACAAATATCAAATGATGATTTCAGAATCAAACTGAACTCTATCAACCAGAGGGTGCAGACAACATTCAGTTCTTTGTTTCTAACTCAGTAAGAACTTTAAGAACCAAGCAATTGATTTCAAGAGCTGGCATGGCCAAGGGTTATGTTCCTCACAAATACTTCACAGCCAGCACATCAAGGGGAACTAGGATCCAGCCACACACGCTGTCTACAGAACACTCAACGTAGTTCATCTACATTAGCTGGATTTCCTTCACACAAATATCCAGTTGCCCTCAACCCCAAGACAGCTTTCAGACAGAGGAAAAATCAGCCTTGCCCAAAAAGGACCAAGTACCTAGCATTTGCTTTCTGACCCCAATAGCTGGTCTCAACGAAGAAACTGGACACCTCATTCAAACACGATTTTGCTTCCCCATCAGAGATGCCACTGCCTAAAAGAGCCAAAGCCCACAAAACATACTCCACAATCCCCTCCTCTCCTCCAGAGCTCACCATACCCACAGGAGCCTAACCCTTGACACAGTCATGACCCATAATCCCTTTGTTGCCAAGATTGGAACTACCCAGAGAAGCCAGAGCCCTCATACGCATATCTATCCCACTAACCCCTTAACCTTTGATGAGGAGCTACCCAGAAACCTGCGTCCCTCGCACATACACCCCTGCTGCACTCCTTAAGAACGGCCACACTGGATCAGACCAAAGGTCCTTCAAGCCCAGTATCCTGTCCTCTAACAGTGGCCAATGGCAGGTGCCCTAAAGGGAATGAACAGACAGGCTATCATCAAGTGATCCATACCCTGTCACCCAATCCCAGCTTCTGGCAAACAGAGGCTAGGGACACCATCCTGGCCAATAGCCACTGATAAACCTATCTTCCATGAATCTAGCTAGCTCCCTTTTGAACCCCATTATAGTCTTGGCCTTCACAACACCCTCTGGCAAGGAGTTCCAGAGGTTGACAGTGCGTTGTATGAAAAAATACTTTCTTATGTTTGTTTCAAACCTGCTACCTATTGATTTCGTTTGGTGGCCCCTTGTTCTTGTATTATGAGAAGGAATAAATAACACTTCCCTATTTACTGCCTCTACACCACTCATGATTTCACAGACCTCTATCCTATCCCCCCTTAGTCGCCTCGTTTCCAAGCTCCTTCCCCTGGGGCTGCCTCCCCCGGGGACGGGACCAAGCCCCTTCTCGCAGCCACCGCAGCGATCCCCAGGGCGAAAGAAGCCAGGCCCCTTCTCCCACATTACGGCACCCACCCGCCCACGGGATCTGGCCCCTAGCCCCCAGCTCACCTGAAGCGGCCCCCGCAGTGCTGGCACTGGTCCCCCACCCAGCCGGCCTGGCACTCGCACTGCCCGCTGCCCGGCTGGCAGCGCCCGCCATTGGCGCACGGCTTATCGCACTCCTTCCCCTCGGCCGCCGCCGCCTCGGGCCCCGGCACCAGCAGCATCAGCAGCACCAGGAGAAACTGAGCCGGGGGGCGCCCCGCGGAGCGCCGCGGCCGCCCACCCTGCGAACCCAGGCTCCCTGCCGCCGGCTGCCTCCGGCTGCTCCGCTCCATCTGCTGCCGCCGACTGGGGAGAGGGGAGAGCGTCGGACTCCTTGCCTCCCTAAGCCTCCCGGGCCGGGCTGAGCGACCGGACGGCGGCCGGCGAGGGTGCTGCGGGCTTCCGATACGGTGGCCGAGGAGGAAGGAGGCTGCTCGGCAGTGCCGCTCGCACTCACTCCCTCTCCTGTCTCTCAGCGGCAGGACTGAGGAGCCCTTTGGGCCACGGCCGATGACGTCATCACCCGCACGCCGTCCACTGACATCATGTCGCCTCCCGACTCGCTCTCCGCAGCGGATGGGGACTGCCATCGAGCGCGGGCAGCGGCGGCCAGAGCGGCGCGGGGCGGGGCCCGTCTTCTGCTACAGTGCCATAGAGCTGGGGCGTCCAGCGACGGGCCCGGGCGGAGGCGCCGCTTCCCCCCCGGCGCTGACCGGCTCAGCAGCGCGGGGGACAGGAGGTGGCCATGCCTCGGAGCTCCGATGAATGCCAGAGCGCAGGTGCCCCTGGGTGACTGGCTGCTCGTCAACCAGAGCCTCGCCGAGGAGGTGCAGGCTGGGGAGTCTTCACCCAGCCCCAACCACGCTCCCAAGCCCGGAGCCAGCAGGCCCTGGGAGCAAACACGGGCCTGGATCTCCCCGGTTGTTACAAACCGCTGGCTCAGTCCCGGGGGGATGTTTGCAGGGCGGCACGTTCTCCCACTCATAAAATTCTTCTTTCTCCCTCGTAGCTGAAGAAAGCCTAAGGACTGTCTCACAAAGCCCGTCCAGCGCAGGGTGGAAGAAACAAACATCCACAAAAGAAAGCCCTGACTCAGTGAGGAGATGAGGTGGAGCCTGCAGTGGGAGAAAATTATTATTTATTTCTGTTCTAGTGGTCATAGAGTCTGAGACCACTGTGATCATCCGGTGTGATCACCTGTATGACACAGACCATAGAACTTCCCAAAAATAATTGCTAGTGCAGGTCTTTTAGAAAAATAGCTAATTTAATTTAAAAATTGACACTGACAGAGAATCCACCATGACCCCTGGTAAATTGTTGCAATGGTTAATTACCTTTGCTGGTAAAAACTTACTATTTATTTCCTGTCTGAGTTTGTTTAGCTTTAACTTCTAGCCATTGGATCATGTTACATTTTTCTCTGCTAAACTGAAGAGCACATTATTAAATATTTGATCCTTATATAGATACTTATACACTGTAATCAAGTCATCCCTTAGCCTTCTGTTTGTTAAGCTAAATAAATAGAGGTCCTTAAATCTATCACTATAAGGCATGTTTTCTAATCCTTTAATCATTCTCGTGGCTCTTCTCTGAACCTTCTCCAATTTATCAATTTATTATCTGAAGACTTAATTGCACTAAGCACTGTACAAAATAACAGACATCCCAAGCCCCACAGGTCTTACAATCTAGGATTTAGAGGCTAAATAACAGGTGAATAAACAGTTAACAGGTGGAATAAGAAGTACAAGGGAACAGAAAAATGTGAGCATTTGCATTGATAGTGCTCACCACTAATGACTAAAGGACATAGCAATATGTTAGTTTTACACTGAAACTCTCAAATTTCATACCTCAGTTACTACTGTGTAGCCAAAAAAAGTTTGCAATATCACAATGCTTGATGTATTCCAAAGAATCTGTAATTGGGAAGGGAAGTTGAATTCCCATAGCTACATTTGGGAGTAGTTAAAACAGATATTACTCGAGAAAGGGGTATGCTGTGGGCGTGCTTGAATAAAGAAGGAGTTGTGGTTGAGAATCTTCACCGTTCTTTAGGGGCTGGTCCAGGAGCGCTAAAGAGTGAGAAAGAGCAAGTAGAACAATATCATCATCAGAGCTGTGATTGACCTGAGTTATCTGAGTGAGGTGACAAATACATTTCTAAACAGACTAATAGGAATGAGGTTATTATTTGCAATGGGAAGAAGATGGAACAGAGCTCAAATTAAAGGTTTTGTTAGAAATAAGTAAAACCTCGATTATGGGTTTGGAGAAGTATGTGAAGTACTTAACGTGATAAGAGGCTAAATTTTACTGAAGTTACTGGGTCAGATTCATCTCTCGTGGCTCTCCGTTGATCTGTTTAACAGCAGTGAAGTTACATTAAGGGTAAATTTAATCCATCGTTTTAAATTTGGAAAGAGGTGCATGGTAAGGCTGACGATTAAATTATTTTATAAAGTGGGAAACCAAAAGTGAAAGTTTTGGAAGCACTGTAAAAGGGAGGGGTTGAAGTAAGGTGCAGCAGTGCAAAGAATTATGTTTTTGAGGGTTGGGTAAAAACCTCATTGAAGCTGATGGGTGTAACTGTCACCTTTTATTTAAAATACCCTTAAGAAACCAATGAGCTTCTTTATGGAACCAGAAATCTGAAACAATAACAGCTGCCACCTAAAATACCAGTATGTCACCACCCAGAACAAAGGTACATGTGGGCAGAGAGGTTTTCCTGTGTGTGGTTTTGAGTAGAGAGAAGAAAGAAAAACACTGTAGAAACATGTAGAACAGGAACATAAAGCTAGACCATAACCTGAACAAAAACTGAGAGTGTGGCTGTGAAGAAAGCCTAGAGAGAGAGCTTTTGGGCTGAGTGCTGACTGAAAGAAGCTCAGGGCTGGGAGCAAAGACACTATTTCCTGTTGTTTGATTCCTGCTGTGTTCAGAAAAACAGGATTTTGTAAACAAGATTGAATGAAAGATACCTGATTCCGTCATCAATTTCACCTCCTAATGGAAACAATGCACAGGGCCCTGAACTTTGGCTAACTGGTTAGGTAAAAAATCTCAAATAAAATAGTCAATCAATTACTATATTTAATCCAGACAGATAATTTGTATTTAGAAGGGGAAAAAAAAAAAGCACTTGCTTGTTTGAGCTGAGCCAGGTTCCTGATGGTCTCAATGTGGTTTCTTAGTGGGTCACTGAAGAGAATGAAAGGTATTGATTAAAAACACCAGAAAGTAAATCAAAGATGTATGTAAATGGAAAATCTAGTCAGCCAAAGCACTTAGCTGACACACTCATGGTTATTAAACCCTTAACCTTCCAAGCCTGAGAGAGTGGCAGAGCCTGTCATCAGAATGAAAGTTTGCAACTTAGGGCTTGTCTACACTTACCGGGGGATCAATGAGCGGTGATCGATGCATCAGTGGTCAATTTAGCGGGTCTAGTGACCCGCTAAATTGACTGCAGATCACTCTCCCATTCAAGAAGAGCAGGGGGAGTCAGGAGAGCATCTCCTGTTGACATCACGTAGTGTGGACCCCACAGTAAGTTGATCTAAGCTACGTCGATTTGAGTTACGCTATTCACGTAACTCAAATTGCGTAGCTTAGATCGAATTTCCCCTGCAGTGTAGACAAGGCCTTAGTTTAAAAGTTCTGTGCTAAGATGTCCTGGCACCCAAAGAAAGATAATAAAGTAAATTGTTAGAGATTTAAGATAGCTATTACAGTTAAACCCTCCTTTCCATCTGTCATAAATATAAAGGGAAGGGTAAACCCCTTTGAAATCCCTCCTGGCCAGGGGAAAGCTCCTCTCACCTGTAAAGGGTTAAGAAGCTAAAGGTAACCTCGCTGGCACCTGACCAAAATGACCAATGAGGAGACAAGATATTTTCAAAAGCTGGGAGGAGGGAGAGAAACAAAGGGTCTGTGTCTGTCTGTATGCTGGGTCTTTGCCGGGGATAGACCAGGAATGGAGTCTTAGAACTTTTAGTAAGTAATCTAGCTAGGTATGTGTTAGATTATGATTTCTTTAAATGGCTGAGAAAAGAATTGTGCTGAATAGAATAACTATTTCTGTCTGTGTATCTTTTTGTAACTTAAGGTTTTGCCTAGAGGGGTTCTCTATGTTTTTGAATCTAATTACCCTGTAAGATATCTACCATCCTGATTTTACAGGGGGGATTTCTTTATTTCTGTTTACTTCTATTTTTTATTAAAAGTCTTCTTGTAAAAAACTGAATGCTTTTTCATTGTTCTCAGATCCAAGGATTTGGGTCTGTGGTCACCTATGCAAATTGGTGAGGCTTTTTATCCAACATTTCCCAGGAAAGGGGGGGTGCAAGTGTTGGGAGGATTGTTCATTGTTCTTAAGATCCAAGGGGCTGGGTCTGTAGTCACCTAGGCAAATTGGTGAGGCTTTTTACCAAACCTTGTCCAGGAAGTGGGGTGCAAGGTTTTGGGAAGTATTTGGGGGGGAAGGACGCGTCCAAACAGCTCTTCCCCAGTAACCAGTATTAGTTTGGTGGTGGTAGCGGCCAGTCCAAGGACAACGGGTGGAATATTTTGTACCTTGGGGAAGTTTTGACCTAAGCTGGTAAAGATAAGCTTAGGAGGTTTTTCATGCAGGTCCCCACATCTGTACCCTAGAGTTCAGAGTGGGGGAGGAACCTTGACACCATCCTATAAAGGTGGAGGAAGCGGAGGGCTCTTTCCGGGGTGCCCTATACTCACATTCCTGGAGCTGCAGACTGCTGTCAAGGTGCACTGGGTCAGAGACTTAACCAAGCACCCCAAGGATAGAGATACTGGCAGGGCATGTTGCTTCTACTCAGCTTCTGCCCTGCGTGTGCAATATAGATGATGCTACCCTACCTTGCTCCTATCTGCTCATGCCATAGGGATCCTACAAGTGGAAACGTCTCTGAGGCAGCTCTGCTCTTCATGTGTCACAGAGATCTTGCTAGTTCTGGCATCTGCTAAAGAGATCCTGCCTTCAGACTCTGCTCTGACTTGCCAGGTCTGGGCTTGCCTGCAATTGTCATAGACGATAATACTTTTGTTTCTGCCAAAACACATGGATGTTGTCCAAGAGAATAAAATCAGTTACAACACAATAATATAATAAAATACCATCAACTTAAAATAAAACATCAAAACAAATAAGGCGTGAGTGATGTCTTTCCATCTCTGACTCTCCTATATGTCTAGGTATTTCTCTCTAGTAAAATGGATTTCTCACTCAAGTGTTTTTCTTACCGTGAAAATTCCATTGGATTTGACAATAAACAGATATGTCTTAAACTGGGTACCTAGAATACTTGCATGTTAGAATATAATAGATTTGTTTTTATCAAGTAAACTTTGAATCTCTCAAGTTACACTGTAAAAGTTAAGAAGAGTTCAGCTCCACAGATTCACTTTGAGTTGAAAAGTAGAACAAAGGAGTTTTCATAATGAGACAGACCTCTACTCCATCAAAGACAGTCTCCTTCCTCTGACAGAGGCCAATCTTGGATGCTTCAGAGAGAGTTGTAACAATCCCAAATGCCTTTTAACTGCTCCATACTATACCACC